AAGAAAGTCGTTCCTATTTCATTAGTTTCCAAATACGGCTTTCGTTCGCTAAATCGCGAAATGCCAAACAAAACAAAGTCCATTCATTCAATTAAAACAATGCGTTTGTTTTGTAAACTCCATTTCGAAGAAACTTCCAGAATTAAGTTTTCAAGTTTTTCCAGAATATGAATAATAATGTTGTTATGAAATATAATTAAAACTCTTTTATATTAATTTCACAGACGCGGTTGCGTTTTTAGTTTCCTTTTTTTTTGGTAAACCGTATAAAAAGCTCACAAACTTGAAAGGTGTCATGCGAAAACAATGTGTTGCGTTGGAATCACGCTCAATATTATATTTCGTGAGCAAACGCAATAAGTACTCCTCCTATGGTACGTGGCACTGATTATAAAGTAGGCAGGTACCCTGTACGAGAGGATTTTTAGTACCTACTTACCACTAAGGGGAAAGCAAGGGAGACTGTTTAAAACGACCTTGAACTTTCCGCCAAGAGCCAATGGAAAGCTTCGGAGGAGCTTCCGGTAAGGGGCACCAAATGGTACTCAACCCCCGAACAGAACATAAATCAACAGATTTTGATGATGTATGATGTATCGTTTCCTACAGATGATAGACTTTTTAAGAGAAAGTGGTTCGAAGTTCCAGGATTGACTATCTTTGACGTAGGGGGAGAAGTAGAAAGGGATTTGATAAAAACTTCCACTGTTTTGTAACTTCGTTTATGTTGTTTCATCGCTATGTATTGATCCAGAAGGCTACTGAAGAGGAGGGAGGAGTAAACCTAAAAAGCGGAAAAGGTGACAAAGTTTCGAACGAGAATGATGGAAAGACTATTGGTATAAAAACAATTTTACCGGAAATGCATATAATTCAGAACGCTTAGTAATTCTATACATTGCCGAGATGGTTTAGACATTCTATAATTAGTTATTTACATAAAAGTCAGGAAAGTGACACGTTACTAGCAAGGAAATATTGAAGTACGAGGCCCCTTTGGGGCCGAGTACCTTAATTTCCGAGTCAGGTAATGTCATTTTACTGACGAGTTTTCTATTAAATTTTACCCGAAATTGTATTTTAATATAAAATTTCAATTTTCATAAGGAACTTTTGATTAATGTCAACCTGTCAGTGGTGACATGAGTCCTTATGGACATTTGGCAATGTCACAAATGCGGCTGGTAAAGTGACAGGTGCGGCCAGTAAAGTGACAAGCGGAAGGAAACGTACTCTGCTCTGCCTCTGTCATATGGAAACTAAAATTTCCTAGCACAAAGTTGGCATGAAGATGAAGGTTTCAGGACGAGATTGGATAAAATGATTTATTTATCCTGGCCTAGTCAATGTATGTAATACCTCGCAGTATTGTATATACCTACGAGTAGAATAAAAAAATTATCAAAATTACCACATTCCCTTTATCGGTACCCACTTCCGACGTCCCGTTCACGCCAAATTCGCTTTAAAAAATCCACAAAATAGTACTCAATTTCTGGGACACTTCTCATAGCTCGAGCTTCTATTGGCGACACCAGAGAGACCACGATTCGAGCTCTAAGAAACTTTTGGAAGCCCCTAAGTCGACTACCCCTCGAAGATGCGCGCCTTCAAAAGGTGATTAATTTCGCCCCTAGGACAAAATTCCGTCACGCAGGGGTTGTGTGTGTTTACTAGATCTTTCCGAAAACAGTCTCTAAAGTTGTTACACGGCCTCGGTAGGTACATGTACACTCACCGTCTTTCTACAATCGTTTTTCTACGGGCCCGCATTTACTGCCAGTCAACCAGCCAGCCGGCCGGCCGGCCAAAGTAAGAATGAAAGCTACCTCTTTAAAAAATAAATTTGCAGAAATGCACCAAAAAGGGAGGTTAGACAAAGTGGAAAATGCAGGACAAATAAACATCTAGCCGTCATTTAAGTTTTAATGAAACAGAATTCCTAAAATTTGTTTAATAAAAACGTCAATAAAACATGACATTTCTCAACTCATTTCATGGCATAAAAGTTTGACATTTTAGACTTCTGTGGCAGCGTATAAAAAGTCCTCGTTGCCATTGACACCGTCCGACAAAGTACCGATTTTTACTATGCGTTTCCAGAGTGTTTAGTCCTGTCTATGAACAATAGCTCAATTTTTGAGTGACAGTAAATCACGAATGTCAATGATATTATTGAAGTATGGGTATTATTATGGGTTCGCCCTCATATTAATCAAATTACAAATTCATGGAAAAAAGTATTACTTTCAAAACTAGTTGTACAAATACCTATTGTCTGACGCTACTAATGGCAACGAGTACCTACTTTTTTATACGCTGCCAATGCCAATGCACAGGCGTCTACAATGCCAAAGAGCGACGCGCCCACGACCAACTATAGGGGTCGAGTTAATTTTTGTTCCGATTTAAAAACTATTATTTTGTTGTTATTCTCACGTTTGAAGAAAAAATAACATATACAGGGTGCCCATTATGTATGGAATATATCAATATAGTACATATCTCGGTAAATATCGAATGTATAAAAAATTCTGTACAGGGTGTTTCGAAATTCGCGCACACGGACTATGGGATTGTGTTATACGACAAAAACTAAACAAAAAGTTCCTCTACCAGTTTTCCATCAGACCGATATTTTTCGAGCTACCGCGGTTCGAAAAATCTCCGCCCCACCTACGCTGAGCCACTGGTTAAACTTAATAATAACACATTTTTAAAAACAAAAGAAGGTTCAAAATAACCTATAATTATGACGAGTACGTAATTAGGTACAACAGTTGTTCAAAATATATTCAAAAAACTTCAATTCTTAGCGGAACCAGAAAATGGAGAACTTCATCACAGGTATCCAAGATGTCGAGCCAACTGCCAAACCACCCGACTCAACTATCAAACCCCTGGTCAAACTGCTGAAAATACCCCGGGCTAACGCCGAAACATTCAGGACCAATTGTCGAAATACCGCGGGCTAACTATCGAAATATGCCAATTCCCAAAACAATGATCTCGCACTCCGGGACAAATGCCAAAACATCTTCCCACGCTCCAAACAAATTTACCACGCTCAAGTGCTTCTATACCTACTCGCTTAATGAGCGGGTTTAAAATATTTTCTTAAAAAATTAAAGCACCGTGTTCAAATACTTTGGAATTGCTTAATGGTTTTTCTTAGAAAATTGAGCCGACCTCTGTTCAAATTCTTTGGCATATACTTTGGGGTGGATAAATGAACGGGTTTGAATATCCCTTACCACTTACCCGTATTGAAACATGCTTTGGATTATAAAAATTTTACATTCTTCCTTAGAAAACTTTTTTAAGAGGAATATTCCTAGGAAGCTCCTTGTCTACCAATCTATTACGCGGTATTATACACCAAAACTTGAAATTTAATTTTCTACCACTATTCAACATTTGATTTAGGTTCCAACTTGAAGGATTATTAGGAAAATTACTGTGACTAGCACAGAGACCTTGCTTCGGTTCCGTATCGGTTTTTCGAGCGGGCGTACGATTAGATAAGTGGTTTCGTGGTTGCTTCAAATACGCTACGCAAGCTATCGAAGCCCTGCAGGTGGAGATGAACCGTCCCGTTTCGTTGGGACTACATCGCTTTTTCTACTCGACAAATAAAAGGCATTAAAATAACAAGGATAGAGACGGGCAGCGATTGTTTGAGAGTGCAGGTTGTTTGCCCTAAAAAATTGGGATCTTGAAATGCAACCAGTTTAGCGTAAAACAAGGTATAAGAGTGAAAGAGGAATCGAGTAGCAATCGCGGTAGAGTATTTTGAATCTTACAACTCGGAATGGTTTAGATACTTTTAACTCTTGCTAGTTTAAGGTTTTGGCCATTTAACATCGGTCATCCTCGCTTTGATGCTAATTACTATGACCCGCTTCATTTATCTCATCCCGAATATGCATACGTAAGGCAGTATTTATTATCTTATTCTATTATATGAAATGAAATTGCATTTTCAACCGCGCTTATTATTTTATATTGCTAATTTCACCTGTAAAAAACCGTGATTAGTTGTTTTTTTGTACAAACCATTCTTGTCATTCTCCATTTAACGTAATGCATCTCTGTTCGCTTCTAATCTGAGGATATGTAGTGTTATATAAGATCGCGATGCCGTAAAAATCGTTTTTAATCGGGAAGCGAAGAGGAAATAATTTAGATTCGTTTTAAAGTCGCATCATGAAGGAAACGAACGAGCATATAGTTCAGTTTCGCGAAAATATATCTATCTACTCGGTGCAATACTTGCTTTAAAATGCGATTACTGTCTCTCGTATATTGCAACTTGTGTGATAACTGAAAGTTTCAGTGAGATTTAAACTTTACGTCTATACTCTTGTTTTAAACCTGAGGGGATTATTTATTTGTACAAATTTGTCGAGTCTCTTAACTTTTGTAGTTGGGAAGAAGTAAATTTGCTGCCTTAGAGGTAAGTCAGTTTGGAATCAAAAGTTTCAGTTTTTAACAAGCAACCGCTGCAGCTTAAATTAAATCTTCCGCGTTCACTACAAATTGGATCACTTCATTATTTACTTTTTTGCGTTCTTAATTTCTGCAGTGGTGGCGAAACGAAACGTGGCACAAAGGCGGCGGCGGCGTCTAACGCTATTTTTCCCATTTCCGTTGTACAATGTATTGGAAGCTCGTTATGATTTAAAGCAAGTGGCAAGAAACTGGTGCATGAGTCGTTTAAAATTGTTTGCCAAAGCCAATAGTATTGAATTATGGGGAAATATTTTACGTGAGCAGCTCGGTTATTCTTTATAATAACCAAGAATAAAGTTTTCCGATAAAAATCGAGTTGGAATAAGTATATTTTAAAAAATGGAGAAATGATTTTATGCATCAAAAATATTGTAGAAGCACTCGAGCTAATTTTTATAGAAAAGCTTCCATTTTGGCTTTATTTATTCTATTTGACTAGAGTTTTCGCTTTGAAGCAAATTCTAATGCATATTTCTATTGAAAGCGAACACGACTACCACGTTATTGATCAAGCTACAGCGCTTAAGACATGGCGATCGCGCGAACAAACAATGCAAAAGTATTTGTGGACGAAGTCGCTATTAATGGAATACTGTGAGTAGTTAGCGGAAAATTGCTTTAATACACTTGTTAATACCTTCAGCAAAGAACAAGTGGCCAAAGAAGAGCTTGCGAGTAGCGTTTGGAATACAAAATGGGGCTTTATGAAAAACTTAGACAAGGTATTTTTTGTTTAAATATATTATTCATTAGCGAACATCAAACGCCATTTTAATAATGTCTCTCGGGCATTTTCCATTGCTGTTTCCACTCCATTTACTGCATACTAACCAAAACGAGACAAGCATATACACGTTCAGTGACGCACATAAATTCCGCCATCCATCTGAAACGACCGAACACACAAAGAGAAATTGACATCCACCAAGCTGCACTTATTGTTCTCTTTCCTATTGCAGAATGCACTTTGTGCTCTATAGTTGTTCGTTAAATTTAACTATCCTACCAAAAGAAAACTTGTATGAGCTTAATAATTGACGATGTCTCGTTCGTAGATGTGCATAGATATCGCGAAATCGATGGGAATCTCCGAAGAGAGATACAGGAGGACGAGGATGAGACCTAAGGGAGAATTCAACGGCGATGTTCGCGCTAGTGATTTTGTTCCAACGATCATTCCTTCAGATCCGATACCCGAAACCAGTGCAGGTAATGAGCGATTTAGCACGTTTGGGATTTTTTGTCACATTTTTGTCATTTCGAACCCCACTATAGTACCTCTAAATAAGTGGCATATTCACAAATGAGAAGGAACAGAATTTTGAAATAATAAGTCTGGCAATTAATATAAACTAAGTCTTTTTTATCAGCTGGTATTTTATTTTGTTAATAATCTTTATCAGTTATGGTTTCTACCTTTCTATCTTTGACTTTTTTGTGCGCTAATATTAACTTAGATATATTTATTTATGATCCCTCTCTCGTTCTGGGCCCTCAACAGGCTTTCACCCAATTACAGAGTGACCCGCATAATGCTTTTTAGAGGTGCCTCTGCAGAAGGTCTTAAGTTGTTCTGTACTACTCCGGTATTTACCTTACGAATTAGGAAAACTGCATTAAAACCTAATTCGGAGTAGCCGGCAGAATGTTCGAAACCGGTCCTAAGGTAATTCCCATCTCTGCCACAGATGAAAAATTCACCTTAACCCAGGTTCGAACACCCGACCTCCGGATTTATAGTCCAGCGCTCTACCACTGAACCATAAAACCAGTCATATATTGTGGGTACAGATCGCGGTTTGATAGCAGACTATAAATAAAAGTTCATTAACTGATCATTTGCATACAAAGAGGTATCGAGTCTTAAAAAAATCCAGTAGAAGTTCAAGAAATTCACTCTTCTAAGGCTACCATCTCTAGGAGAAGGGCTGTACAAATTTGTACTGCAGGAAAACCATCGTGTCCAGAAAGCGCTATGTGTAAGGTAGTGCAATTTTTCTTGATTTGTATTAAAATAACAATCGGTTCTCTTTAAGAAATTTGTTGAAGGTAATCGTAATATATAAAATACTCGGATGTGGACTCATTCAGAAAGAGTGTGAATTATTTCTTTTAATTGAATTTAACTATTTAGTTTAAATGAGAATAATATTTCTTTAAATGAGTTTAGTTTTATTAACCCTAAGGTCTTTACTTTTTGTGTAAAAAATTGCCAAATTGTTTATTGAAAGAAATATGGCCACGATATTTATTTATTTATTGTCCCTCTTGTTCTGGGCTCTCAACAGGCTTGCGCCCAATTACCCAGTGAGCCGCATAATGCTCGAAACTGATCGAAGGAAATTCCCATCTCTGCCACAGATGAAAAATTCTTACCTCAGCCCAGGTTCGAACACCCGACCTCCGACTATGTATCCCAACGCTCTACCACTGAGCTACATAGTCGGTGCATATTATCAGAATTCATTGTAACGGTACAATTTTAAAGTAAGAACAATCGAAAAAAAACTGGATAGGCGCCGATTAGTCTTTAGTAAATTTCAAAAGGGAAGAGAGAATACTAACCGAAAGGGGAACAAAATAGATATAGAACCCTGTAATATCTAGATCTGAAATGTCAACGTTTAAATTTAACTGAAGTTAAGAAATCAACTCGTAGTTGGAAAATTATCAAAATCAAAACAGACTTCCGCGGAAAACAGCGGAGCTATAATTTTTACATGACTATCACACAAATATAGTCACTGCAATTCTATTAAATCGAAAATCAATATGTAATCAAGCGTTATGACAAGAAGTCGTCGAAAATAAAAATCGTACCTTTGAACTACAGGTCCAAACAACCTGTTCGAGCTCAGAAGGGCGCTTTTCTGCCTTATGTGTAACAGATAAAAATACAAACAAAACACCAAGGGGAGTAGTGAATAGCGCGGCACATAAATATTGCGAGAGATGTCTAACGTTTGACACATGGGTACTCGAATACTAGAAACTGTAACTAACACTTAATAAGAATCAATAATTCAATTTTCGTAAACTAAACAATTAGGCCAGTAAATTAACGTGGAATACGGCGATACTGTGTAATTTTCCGCGTCTTCGCCGAATCGCATGAAATGGATTTAGGTTCTACTTACCTTCCACTTCAAAGTTGAACTTGAGCCCAGAGGTGCTTTTTATTTTTTAGGGGAAAAACTACCCCTATTAGAAAAAAATCGTATAAATGTAAATTAAAGATGATCTTGGGCAGCTCACGCACAATCGGTGAGCTTTCGAAATAAAAAAAAACTTAGCCGAATAATTATTATGGCCGCGGTCACATCGGTAACTAAAACAAAATTAAAACAACCGGCAAATTACCTAACGGGCGGAAAGCAATTAAGCACGGTCAAAGTAGCGGGCTTCTAGGGAAAACAATTACGGGAAAACGTACGAAAAATCCCAATCCCAAATTAACGGAGCAGAAAAACAACAAAACTTACTTGTGGCGGTAAAAAAGGCAGAAGGTTAAGCTACGGTACGGTAAGTACAAAAGGCAAAAAGATTTAACTTACGGCAAACAAAATAACTAAAGATTAAACTTACGGCAAGGAAAATAGCAAAAGATACTTCCAAAATAGAGCGTTTACCTTATAAAGAAAATCCAATTTGGTGGAAGTGGAATTGGGAAATTCCAACTCGTCGTGGTGCTTGCCCCGAAATTACTCGGTCTGTAATTATCAACAAAATATGTATAGGATGGACCTCGGATTTCTCGTTTTTTAAACGCGGTCATTTTGAGATAACTTTAAACGCCGTCTACCGGATTTTCTACAACTCATTAAAACGTAATTCTTTAAGCATGCTTACCCAATTAGGCGTAATCAAACTTTAATACTCATCAATCCAATGAATACCGATTGTTAATTGGAATATTCCGGCGCAACAACTGTTGTCGTTTTCTACACCCCGGCATGTTAGCTAGATTGATAACGTGTAAACACTCGATGTGGAACTCGTTTCTATCCTGGTTTTCGCTTATTATGGGAGTCTAAAATGCTTAATAATTAATTAACGGCAGTAAAATAAACAAAATGGAAACGCATACAACTCAATCTCGAGCAAGTAATTATATTCAGGAACTCCTTCGTAACGATGCAGCAAACTCGATACCGGGTATTCAGTAAAGCTGGTCGACTTTACAAAATATACGGTGTGGTCGTAACTAAATTTTAACCACGGAAACATCTGCACGACCTCTAGCGGTAAAATAAAGAACTGTTGTAAACCTATAACACTCAACTAAGTACGTCTAAACTAAACGGCATTACAGAGGAAATACATAGATCACGTAATAATGTCGAATATAAAATATATTATGAAATTTGGATTAAAAAAACACGTTTCATACTCAATAATTGTATTATGGCTGCAATCAAACCAGAACGTCAAATTTTGATTTTTGCAGACTTAGAGAAAAAGATCAAACTTCCATAAGGTGATTAGAATTTGTTTGGGAGCGAGCAAATTTGGGTTAAATAATTGGTATTAGAAAAATTTGTCATTATAGTAGAAAGTGAATTTTATTTTATATACCTATACATCCTGCAATTGTATAGCAGTATAATCTTACCGGCAAAATGATGACGTCCTTTCTTTCGAAAGGCAGCTTTACGATTTTTAATAGTGTAATGGTAGCGTTCAATGTGGAATTTTATAGAAATAGATAGTTGAAATTTTTGCCTACAGGGTGTCAGAAGATTGAATTGTCCAATAAGTCGTATGGCTGTGGGAATTGAAAAAATCCGCATGTAATTGGTGGAATTAATGAATTTTTTTCTTCGTATTTACATTCTATGGAGTATTGTTCTCATAACAGCTTTAGGAAGTCTTAGGCTCCAGAAAGTCGCAGATATAATAAGGTGTAATCTTATTTCAGTTGGGTTGAGTAGCAAAAGCACCTACAAAAAATTACGCAGTACTAAGGATCACCAATCTGGATTATAGAAATAAAGTTCAGCACAATTCCCATGTGTAGCTTTTTGACGGACACTCTGGGAGTAGAGCAATCCTGATTGACTGAAAGAAATTTTATATTACTTTTTAAGTTTTACATCGCCAATTTCTCAACATTCACATCGCCACAAAAATTACAAAAATCTTGCAATGTGTAACTACGCCACTTACACTTACACTACTTACTCCCATTGTTAATGTGGCAATTGGTGATGTCGCATGTGACAAAATCCCTTATTAGTTAGAGCGTACTGGCTCCTTAAGAGCTTCGTAATTTCAAGATACTGATAAAAAATCTCCCATACTGTCAAAACTAATTACAAACATTCTATGATAAATTGAGAACTTTTTCAATGTGTTCCTTTCTGCAACATTGTTTATTGGTGCTTTGAAAACTCTACCTACATTATAATTGACCACCTCCATGCATAACGAGTGCTTTTGCTGCAGTTCGAGTCGCATAAGTAGACTAATAAAAATGATGGCGTTTATTATGTTGTGCACAAGCCCGGAACGTGCCCATGGATATTGCAAGTGACATATTTCACATTAAAAATTCAATTGATGTCAGCCATTATCGATTGCTGCTGGGTTTGGCGTATGAAGCGTTTCGATTGTGCTCGCGTTCATGAAATAGCGAATGACCGTTGTTGACGTATTATTAAAGTCTTATCGGAATGAAAAGGAAGTGGACACCGGAAAAGAATAAAAGATCATTGGCGTAGATCACTAATGTGTCGCAGTTTCAAGCTCAATATCAATTGGCCGTTCATACTTTTTGCTCTTTTCGAACTATTCAAATTTTTACTACTCAACGTTCTAATATTGTTTCAAATGTGGACCACTGGGGCTAAAAGGAATGCTTAGGTAATAAGATCACGGGAAGACCGTACAGAAATTTTTCAGTGATCATACGGTACTGATTAGAGTTGACAACTTTGTTTTAAATTTGAAATTAAACCCTGCTTAACCGTACCTAAGTAATTGGTCTAACTGAGAATTATGGAACCTTTATCTTCGTATTTATCTATAAGTACATTGAGACTTATTCTACAGTTTTCCTTTTGGCGCGATGCCTGAACGTAGCGAAAGGATAGTTAGATAATCGAACAAATAATGAACGCGATTAAAGTCGTTTAAATTGGATAAACATCTTAGGATGCCTACTGAATTTAGGACGTGCCAAGGCAGGAAGGGTAGAACGCGTGTAACTATTGATAGTCTTTTCTATACGACACCACTCACCTACCCAGGTGGGATGTCGAGCAAAACGGACAACGGAGCTATAATTGTTAAATGACTATCAAACAAAATATGCAGTAATTACAATTCGATTGTATCGAAAACCAATAGATACGTAATATAAACTTATATCGAGGAGTCGTCGAAAATACAAATATTACCTTTTGAACTACCAGCCGCAACTTCTACGAGCTCGGAAAGGGCGCTCTTCGCGAATAGCGCGGCACATAATATTGCGATTGCAATGTTTAACGTTCGAAACACGGATACTGGAATACTAAAACCGTAGTTAACATTAACTAAGGATCAATAATTCAATTTACGTTAACTAAACAAAAGCAAAATTTTGAATTTTGATCGACAACGAATCGTCCGTACAAATCGGTGATATAAAAGCAATGTGACCTTAACTTTACAATGCACAAGTAACTATTGTCAACTTCTATACAACAGAAATGATATAGTTTACTCAAATTGTAAATAAACTAATACGAACAGATTCTTCGTAATGGCACAAGCAA